TTATATATAAATATATTTAATATATAAATGTAACATTTTTCTGAAATATATATACATGCATGTGTGTGTATTATACACTTAATAAATATACACAGTATACACACATATATTATGTAAACAAAAACTTTTAGTTTGGACGCGTTTAATCATGTGACAGCTAATATATATATATATATATATATATATATATATAGACCATTTAGTTTTAATCGCAAATTAATGATTTATTATTTTTGTTGCTTTAGTGATAAGTTTAACATCATCATACTGACAGTACAAGCACGCATAACATCTTGCAGTGAAACACATTTGCTGGCGTGACTCGTGTTTGTGAGTGAGTTCTTTAGTAAAAACCGCAGCTGAAGACGTGTGACGTTCAGGAGGTGTTAAAATACAAAAACCAACCACAACAGATGAACAGTTCATTTGCAACAACAGATAACTCAACTTTATCCTGCATTCCAATTAATATCAATCAAACTGCAGTTGGGTTGTTTTGATTAAATAATAATAACTAAAAAAAAATAAAGAATTAAAAAAAACAGAGTTATCTGTTTTTGCAAATAAACTCTTCAAATATAAACGTAAATATTTTCAATATATATATTGTATGTGTGTGTATTTATATATACACATAATAAATGTGACAGCACTAATATATATATATATATATATATATATATATAGACCATTTAGTTTTAATCGCAAATTAATGATTTATTATTTTTGTTGCTTTAGTGATAAGTTTAACATCATCATACTGACAGTACAAGCACGCATAACATCTTGCAGTGAAACACATTTGCTGGCGTGACTCGTGTTTGTGAGTGAGTTCTTTAGTAAAAACCGCAGCTGAAGACGTGTGACGTTCAGGAGGTGTTAAAATACAAAAACCAACCACAACAGATGAACAGTTCATTTGCAACAACAGATAACTCAACTTTATCCTGCATTCCAATTAATATCAATCAAACTGCAGTTGGGTTGTTTTGATTAAATAATAATAACTAAAAAAAAATAAAGCTAACTAACACAATAAAAACATGATAACACAAAAAAAACACGATTTATGAAAATGAATAAAAACAGAGTTATCTGTTTTTGCAAATAAACTCTTCAGATTCTCATGGCACACAATACTTTACATGTATGTCTAGTGGTTTGCAGAATTTTATGCAACACCAAATATAGTTACCCTTTACCACAATCAAAAATAAATAGCTACAAAGCACTCTAAATGTTTTTGGACATTTCAGTCATGCTTAATGCACGAATGCCATTGCATTAGATACAAATATCAAATTATTTATCGTAAAGAAACACACTTACAAACAAAACATTTGAGAAAAAGATAGTTGGTTTGAAATGAGAGATATTGCCTTTCCGTTCAAAATAAAACACTCATGCAACTGGAGATAATTGTAATGATATTTTGCCAAAAGTGCTAATTTTATGTACAAACTTAAAAAATAAATAAATCGAGTGCACTTTTGTCTATTTTTTGGGGCCACTGTGTGATTGAGGAAAGCGCAATGCCACGTTTGCTACTGTTGGTGTAAATGACACTCAACACAACAGCGTGACCTTCAGCGCGTGAGAAACTCAAGCGCCGCTGCACGTTTTGACCCTTTCGGCTTGCCATACCGGCTGCACGCCTAGCACTGCATGCAAACCAATGAGAGTGCAGGAATTGTCTGTTTTCCCCTAATGCGTGTGCCATCTTTCCGCTCCGTGCATGCATCTCTCTCCCTGAGCAGCTGATTGTGTTGTGCATGCATTAGGAGCCGGATTGCACACATGCATGGCCGTCATCCGGGTTGCATTCGTGCCGCAGACGCCAGAGAGGGAGAGAGAGCCTCTAACATCACGGTAAATCAAAGGTGAAGCCAGGACGGAGAGGAAAAAAGCATGGCGTCCGCGTTCGGCTCCAGGACCCTGAGTAAAGATGATGTGAACTACAGGATGCATTTCCGCATGATCAACGAGCAGCAGGTGGAGGACATCACCATCGACTTCTTCTACAAGCCTCACACCATCAGCCTGCTCACATGCACCGTGCTCAGCCTCATGTACTTCGCGTTTACGCGGTGAGTGACGCACAACGCCAATGTCACACAAAGAACCGCAATGACGGCATATGCTACTATAGCAACAAATGATCGCGCGGCTCCATTTCATATAGTAATCATGCTATCTAAATCTGAATTCTCTGGCTTTTAGTGCGTGTTTGTTGTGCTATTAGGTGTCAACTGCGATCTTAGCGGATCTTCTACGGTCTTTCACTTCCGGGAAAACGGTTGTTTTTTTTTGATGACGTCACCGCGTACTCAGGGGCGTGTTCAGTTTTATTCGATGCAATGCGGTTCAGAACGACCAGCGATTTCTATAATCCGAAGTAGCAAATTTGAAGTAACAAATCATGCATCATGTGTGTGAAGTAAACTAAAGACTACTGGCTGTTTATATTCTTTATTTTCCATTAAAGGCAGCGTGTAAGTTAATCATGTTCCCTGTACCTTCTGGTCATTTGATTTTATAATTAAAAAGAAAAAAAGAGAAATGAGAAACAGTTTGATTTTCATTTTGTAATTTTGTTTAAGAAACAGATAAATGGACCCTTTTCACAAGACTGTGATGACGCGTTTAATGGTCATCAGCATCGTAAATCCTCGAAAGCTTTTTATATTTAAATTTTTTTTTTAAATGTATGTATATTTATAACACTATACTTTGTATTATATCACCTTTGCATCAAATTACAAAAAAACTAGTTAACACTAATGCTGTGTTTCTAATGCATTGTCTATGGGAGGGATGGTAAATTTGACATCGTTCTCTCTTCTCACTGCCGTTATCAGTCGCTCTCAATTTTTTTCCTTTTATTGAAAGTCATGAAAACACAATCGTGGAGTTTTTCTTTTGCTATTTGAGCAAATGGGAATGCAAAAAATATATATTTGTGGTACTCTCCCATTCACTGCTCTTCAAGTTAACCCAACTATGACGACTTCTGCTGCTGAGAAACCCGGAAATGTGAAAAAGGTCCATAGAGAGATGATTTCCAGTGCTCAGCATAGACCTCGGCTTCTGTCCTTCTCCATAAGCCTGTGTTTGTTTTAACTGTGACCAATAAAAAAGGTCATAATTAATACCCCAACACAGACACTGATAAACAATTCCAAATTGCCACCATAATCAAATGATGCAAACATCTATGAGTTACAAAAGTTCACAGCCACAACTGACAATTTCTTAATTGTATTCAGTCATTCATGGAAATTTTATTAACATGGTGCTGATGTATCCTGCCCTTCCTCTGTCACAACACCAGGGATCTAATTTCATTATTTTCCACAAGATTTGCTTGACTACTGCCATAATTTTAATGCCGGTGCAGTCCAGATGTTTATGCTATTTAAATTAGGAGGCAAAGCCTGTTGGGTAAACATAATTAAAGAAAGTTGAGTTTTTTTTTTCTCTTGCCCTCTCTTTGTCTCTTCGCCTCCCCTCTCTCCGTCTTCGTAAGTTTACTTCATTAGGCAACTTTCATTTAAATCCTGATGCCACATGGCCCTCCCATAAAGCACAGTCCTCCGCAGATCTGTGAACGGCTCACGGCGCCGTGAAGGAGCCTTACGCAGATCAGTGCACCCACAACGCAGGCACGACAGCAGGCTGGCGAGAGGGGTCAAGGTCTCTAGGTCCACAGAGAGAGGAATATTGGGTGCTAGTGTTTACATGTTTGCTGTTCTGCCATGAAAACAAACCATGCAAAATACTGACATAAGCTAACAGTATATCCCAACAGATATGGCTGAAAATACAGCATTTTTTTTACAGCAAAACTAAAACTTGTATTTCAGCTAGTTGCCAAAGCAACATTTCTAATTTTCATTTAGTTTAACTTCATGTACTAAAATAAATAAAACTAAAACTGAAATAAAAGTAATAAAAACTATATAGGCATATTAAAAAAAAACTAATAAAAATGACAAAAAACTGCTAAAACTTCAACTCAAATCAAAAT